ACTAGTATCTCCTTTCACCTCCCAGATTATTTTAAAGCAAATCTATTGGAAGTATATAGTAAGCATATATATATATATATAGTATATTAATAAACTTTTTATTTTGGAACAGTTTTGGATTTAAAGAATTATTGGAGAAACAGAGTTTCTCCTTCACACAATTTCCCCTATTATTAACATATATCACTAGAATGGCATATTTGTAACAATTAGTGAACCAATTTTTAAATTTTTTTAAATTTTTAATTATTATGAGTACCTAAGAGTTATATATCTTTATAGGGTGCATGTGATGTCTCGATACAAGCATACAGTGTGAATTAATCAAATCAAGGTAATTGGAGTACCTATCACCTCAGGCATGTAACATTTCTTTGTGTTAAGAACATTCCAATTCTACTCTTTTAGTTATTTTAAAGTATACCCTAGCTTATTGTTGATTATAGTCACTTTGTTGTTCTATTAAATATTGTTCATTCTATCTGACTATATTTTTCCACCCATACACCATCCCCACTTTATCCCCGACTCCCTGCTACCCTTCACAGCCTCTGGTGACCATCACTCTACTCTCTGTCTCCATGAGATCTACTGTTTTTAATATTTAGCTCCCACATATGAGTGAGAACATGCGAGATTTGTCTTTCCATGCTTGGCTTATTTTAGTGAACCGATATGGATACATTATTATTAACAAAAGTTTATGCTTTAGTCAGATTGCCTCAGTTTTTCCCTAAGGTTTTCTTTCTGTTCCATGAGCCTATTGGAGGCATATTTCATTCTGCCTTTACAAGTCCTTGTGGATTTAAGGATGTAATGCTCCATTTCATCCACTACCTACAGGCTAAGAAGCCTGCATCAGAACAAGTGTTTATTTCATGACCTGTCCCCGCTTCCCTTCCCCTCTTCCTTTCCCAGGCTCTAACTTGGGGAAAGGATGTCAGAGCACACGTGCCCACAGTGGCTTAGGAGCACTGATACCTTTGCTGCCCTTAAGAGTATGTTGGGCAGTTGCTGGACTCCCTTTAAACTGCCACTTTGGAATTCTTGCCAGGGCAAACAACCAAATGTAATTTGGGACAACCTGTGAAGCAGAGAATTCAGAAAAAGCCACTATATCTTTAAAAATACATTTGTGAGTCCACCATATTAACTAAATGAAATAGAACTAATGGCTCCCAGGCTGTTTGGGTTAATTTCCACTCTAGCTAGTCACAGCATGGGGGTGTCTGTGACTTGGGGGGTCAGCAGAGGCCCAGGGCGGTGCTGCCCATCAGTGGCTGGTCAGTTTGCCTCTACACCAAGAGCCCCCCCCACACACACCCTGGGGCAGAAGCCACATGCTCTCTGCTGGTGTCACAGGAAGTCAGTTCTCTGTGGAGGTGCTCTGCTTAAATCAGTGCTGTGTGTGGTGCCAGGTTTCTGATGCAATGCCTGCTCCAGCCAGCCTGTCGAACAAATCAAAGTGCACTGGGCGGCTGGCTTGGGGCCAGAATGGCGTCACTGCCCATTAATAGAAGTTGATGGAGCTCAGAAAAATGCCTTAGGTCTGGCAACAATCCAATTCCTCCTACACTTTGTCTGCCTCCAGGCAAATATATAGAAAAATCAATTTAGGGATGCTTATTTTTTACCAGTTTGTACTAATTTAAGCATTGCTTTGCCTAGTTACTGTTGGATTTTTTTTAAAAAATGTTTTGTGACGTAGCTTGTTTTTTACTGATTTATATAGTCTTTTACAGGTTCTGCTACTTCTTTCCAAAAAAAGATTTGAGGTGACTTCTTACAAAGGACATTTATTGTTAACATGCAAGTTTCCTCTGCTTTTCCTTGATGTTCTACTTGTATAACTATAGTTGATGAATTAGAGTTTATCTATCAATCCATCGATACTACACTTTATTCCATAAAGGATGCATACAGAATATTCAAATACTCACACCAGACAAGATAACACAAATTACAAAGGGGTAAGGAAGAAAAAAGAAACACAAGTTAGTAACATATAATATCAGCTATAAAATAGGACTTCACAGAAATTCATACCACGAAGTCCTATGCATTTGCTCCAAATGGGTCTCACATCAGCAAATGAGCCTCAGAAAAGCCAGGAAGAAAGGAAAACTATGACCATTTGGGCAAGCCATAGTGGAAATAATCTAAAAAGAAGCCACACAACGCTTTCTGATACTCAGGTCAGAAAGACTTTAAAGAAGACAGTAAGGAACATCTGCAATAATATTCTTATTGGAGACTGTTATGGGCTGGCCGCTAAATTGTGACCCCTGCCATCCCACCACCTTCCCCAAATTTATATGCTGAAGTCCTAACTCCAGTGCCTCAAAATGTAATTATATTTGGAGACAGGGTCTTTAAAGAGGTAACTAAGTTAAAAATGAGATCATGAGAGCAGACCCTAATTCAATATGACTGGTTTCCTTATAAGAAACAGATATTAGGACACAGACACAGAGACCACATGAAGACAAGAAGCAACCAAGGAGAGAGGACTCCCCTCACACCTTGATCTTGGGCTTCTAGCCTTAAGCCACCCAGTCTGTTATGGCAGCCTGAGTAAACTAATCCAGAGACACAGTAATACATTTCTCAAAGGCTGTTTCTAATGGCATCCGTTGTTGCAGGCTGACAACACCAGGCACCCAGATTCCTGCTTTCCCACCTCCCACACCTGCCCCCACATCCCACCCAAATCCACATGGCTATTGTGAGAACTTT